AACTTCAAATCGTGACTCATCTGACCACAGAACAGTCTTCCATTTTGCCACACTCCATTTTAAATGACCCCTGGCCCAGTGCAAACGTCTGAGCTTGTGGAGCTTGCTTAGAAATTCATTCAACCTTAATTTAGACAGGTAAATCCCATTGAGCCTCGAGGACTCATTTACAAGAGAGACCTGATTTCAACAAAGAATGATGACAACAATGGACAACATCGACAACAATAAACAGTTATAAAAAGTCATACTACAGTTTTTTTTTAGTGTGATAAAAAAATGGCTTCCTCTTTGCACTGTAGAGTTTCAGCTGGCAACGGCGGATGGCACGGTGGATTGTGTTCACTCACAATGCTTTCTGGAAGTATTCCTGAGCCCATTCTGTTATTTCCTTGACAGTGGCATTCCTGTTTGAGGTGCAGTGACATTTAAGGACCCGGAGATCACGAGCATCCAGTAGAGCTTTACGGCCTTGACCCTTACGCACAGCGATTGTTCCAGATTCTCTGAATCTTATGATGATGTTATGCACAGTTGATGATAATAACTTAAAAGTATTTGCTATTTTACACTGGGTAACCCATTCTGGTATTGCTGCACTATCTTTCTGTGTAACAATGGTGGAATTTGCGATCCTCTTACCATCTTGGCTTCTGAGAGATGCTGACACTCTGAGAAGCTCTTTTTATACCCAATCATGTTGTCAGTTGACCTAATTAGTGTTAATTGGTCTTCCAGCTGTTCGTTATATGTCCAATTTCCTTTTTCCAGCCACTTATTGCTACTTGTCCCAACTTTTTTGGGATTTGTTGACACTGTAAAATTTTGAATCAACACATTTTTTCTTTAAAATGTTAGATTTACTCAGATTAAAATTTTGATCTGTCATCTATGTTATATTACGAATAAAATATTGACATTTTCCATCTCCACATCATTGCATTCAGTTTTTATTCACAATTTGTTTAGTGTCCCAACTTTTTTGGAATCCGGTTTGTACATTTGTGTCCGCAACACAGCTCCCCCCCCCCCCCCCCCCCCCCCCCCCCCCCAGAATGTCACAAATACCAAAAACACAAATTGTGAAACCCATCACAGGTGAAAACATACACCAAATAAATAAATAAATGAAATACCTAGGTCGTAGATCGATGATTGACTTCATAGTCATGTCATGTGATTTGCAGCCATTTGTTTTGGTCATTGGGGAAGAGGAGCTGAGCTGTCAACTGATCACCACCTGGTAGTGAGTTGGATTAGATATTGGGGGAAGATGCCGGACAGACCCAGTAGACCCAAATGTGTAGTGAAGGTTTGCTTTGAACGCCTGGCAGAAGAACCCGTCGGAGAGATCTTCAACTCACACCTCCGGGACAGCTTTAACCGCATCCCAGCTCAGGTGGGGGACATTGAGTCTGAGTGGGCCATGTTCCACACCTTGCTTGTTGAGGTAGCTGCCTTGAGCTGTGGCCGCAGGGTTGTTGGTGCTTCTTTCGGTGGCCATCCACGAACTCGATGGTGGACAACCCGGGTTAGGGAGGCTGTCAAACTGAATAAGGAGTCCTGTCGGGACTTGTTGGTCAGTGGGACTTCGAAGGCAGCTGAGGAGTATCGGAGGGCCAAGCAGTGTGCAGCCTTGGCTGTTGCTGAGGCAAAAGCTCGGATGTGGGAGGAGTTCGGTGAGACCTTGGATAGAGACTCTCGGTCGGCTCCGAGGAGATTCTGGCAAACCATCAGGCAGCTGAGGAGGGGAAAGCAGCACTTTACTAACACTGGGTTCAGTGAAGGTGGGGAGCTGTTGACCTCAACCAGTGATGTCATCGGGAGATGGAAGGAATACTTCTTGGACCTTCTCAGTCCCACCAGCATGTCTTTCATGGAGGAAGCTGAGTCGGGGGACTTTGGGGTTGATCCGTCCATAACCGTGGCTGAGGTCTCTGAGGTAATTAAAAAGTTCTGAGGCGGCAGGGCTCCGGGAGTGGATGAGATTCACCCTGATTTCCTTAAGGCTCTGGATCTTGGCTGACACGCCTTTGCAACGTCGCGTGGACATTGGGGGCAGTGCCACTGGACTGGCAGACTGGGGTGGTGGTTCCCCTCTTCAAAAAGGGGGACTGGAGGGTGTTCTCCAATTATAGGGGCATCACTCTCCTTAGCCCCCCTGGTAAGGTCTATTCAGGGGTATTGGAGGAGTGATTCCGATCATTGGTCGAACCTCAGATCCAGTAGGAAAAATGTGGGTTCCGCCCTGGCCGTGGAACACTAGATCAGCTCTTTACCCTCACTAGAGTCCTTGAGGGGTCATGGGAGTTTGCCCATCCGGTCTTCATGTGTTTTGTAGACTTGGAGAAGGTATTCGACTGTGTTCCTCAGGGTACTCTGTGGGTGGTGCTCCGTGAGTATGGGATTGGAGGCCCGTTGTTATGGGACGTTCAGTCCCTATACAAGCAGTGCGAGAGTTTGGTTCGCATTGCCGGAAGTAAGTCGGACCCCTTCAGGGTGGGAATTGGACTCCGCCAGGGTTGCCCGTTGTCACTAATTCTGTTCATAACTTTTATGGACAAAATTTTTCGGTGCAGCCAGCTGGCGGAGGGTTTCCGGTTCTGTGGACTCAGGATTCCATCTCTGCTCTTTGCAGATGATATGGTCCTGTTGGCGTCATCATGCCGTGATCTTCACCTCTCACTGGAGTGGTTTGCAGCTGAGTGTGAAGCGGCTGGGATGAGAATCAGCACCTCCAAATTTGAGGCCATGGTCCTCACCCAGAAAAGGGTGGATTGCTCTCTTCAGGTTGAGGGTGAGGTTCTGCCTCAAGTGGAGGAGTTCAAGTATCTCGGGGTTTTGTTCACAAGTGAGGGAAGAATGGAGCGTGAGATTGACAGACGGATTGGTGCAGCATCTGCAGTATTGCAGACTCTGTACCGGTCTGTTGTGGTGAAGAGAGAGCTGAGCTGTAAGGCAAAGCTCTCTGTTTACCGGTCAGTCTACATTCCTACCCTCACCTATGATCATGAGCTCTGGGTAGTGACAGAAAGAATGAGATCACGGATACAGGCGGTTGAAATGAGTTTTCTCAGCAGGGTAGCTGGACTCTCCCTTAGAGATAGGGTGAGAAGTTCAATTATTCGGGAGAGACTCATAGTAGAACCACTACTCCTCCACGTCAAGAGGAGCCAGTTGAGGTGGTTCGGGCATCTGGTAAGGATGCCCCCTGGGCGCCTCCCTAGAGAGGTTCTTCGGGTATGTCCAACTGGAAGGAGACCCCGGGGAAGACCCAGGACATGCTGGAGAGACTATGTTTCTCAGTTGGCCTGTGAACGCCTTGGAATCATCCCAGAAGAGATGGAAGAGGTGGCTGTGGAAAGAGATGTCTGGGCCTTCCTGCTCAAGCTGCTGCCCCCGCGACCCGACTTTGGAATAAGCAGAAGATAATGGATGGATGGATGGATGAAATACCTAACGGTAACAGCTAGGGAGTTTAATAAGGCAGCCGTGGTGGCCGCCTTATTAAACTCCCTAGCTCTTCACAGTGACATGGGTTGAAATTGAAGGAGACTCTCTGGACCAACTTCTTGGTACTTGGTATAAAGTTTATTCATTTTAAAAAGGTGCAAAATAATTCCATAACAATATAAAGAAAGATACAAAATATTTAAAATGAAAGGCAGCAGAAAGAAGAAAAAATCTTATTATATCTGCCCCTTTTTTCAAACAATTATTTCAATCATAATAATTTTCAAGTAACAGAACAAAATTAATAACTCTTTCTATTTTTTCTAATTTTTCTAATTCTAATACAAAACACACACTAAGCTACTTCATATATATTTTTTTAACAATTAAGCTTTGATATTTTTATTAAATGTACACATTTACTTGGCATTTTTCACATCACTCTCTATACCATTGCACAATCCAATTCCTTGGATTGAGGTAGACCTTCCCTTCAGACTAGTTCTGAATTGTGGTTTGACAAATATCTCTATCCCCTTAAGATTATAACAACTTTGTCTTTTAACAAAATTTCTTTGGATATTTAATGGTAATGTGTTATTTTGAGCCCTATACATAACTGATAAAATACTGTAATCTACCAAATCGTGGAACTTCAATAACTTCAGTTGATAAAATAATGTGCTTGATGGGTGTCTGTAATGCTTTCTAGTGATGATTCTTACAGCTCTTTTCTGTAAAATAAAAATAGGTTTTTTAAATGTTTTGCATGCTTTCCCCCAAACATCAATGCAATAGATTAAATGTGGAGCACTGATTGTGTTATACAACATGTACAAAGCTTTATCATTTAATAATTCCCTGACTTTGTATAGTACTGCAATAGATTTAGCTATTTTTGTTTTTACAGAATTTA